AGGTGGGCTGTGTGTTCTTTGTTGTTTGCTCGTCTGTGGGCACAATACTTTTCATCTCCTTCTCCAGTGGGCAGGGTCAGTCACTCAGGTATGGTACAGCAGGGAAGGTCCAGCTGAAGGGGAGTTGCTGGGATAGGTTTTTTGTGGCACGTACCAGGGCTGACAGTGCGGACCGGGAATCAGTGCAGGGCAGGTTCTAGTAGGCCGTGCCTGTGTTGCTTGGGAATGTGATGTTAGCACACGGTGCAGGTAGGCAGGAAGGAGGGGTAGGTTGTGATTTGTGGAGCTAAAATGGGTATGGGAAAGATGAAAGAGTGGAGAGAGGAACAGGAGCCAAAGACATACACACAAACAAAAAAGAGTGCTACGGGAGCTTGCTATTGGGGTGAAGAGATGAGAGACTGAGAAATGGGGAAAAACAAAAATGAAAAAAAAGAAAAAGGGTAAAAGAAAAAAATGAATAAACTGAGAAACTGGAAATGAAGAAAGACAAAAAGGGAATAAGAGAGAGAAGAAAACTAAACAAAGAAATGAAAAAAAAAAACCCCAAAAACAAACAAGGAAAAAGAAATGCCTCCAGGGATGTCCCTGTGCATCTGCGCAGAGTAAGGGACTAGCTTCCAAGCCACATGGTACTGCCCGGCTAGAAGGGGCTCCCCAGCCGAGAAAAGAAAAAGAAAACAAACATATCAAAACAGAACAAATCAGAGCAAACAAACAAAAAAGCCTTGGGGATCCCACCAGCATGGTGGCATAGGCCGGGAAGCAGTTTCACAGTCAAGTGGTGTTTCGCAGACTTTCAGGAAGAAGCAAAGATGGCGCACGGAGTCAGGTATTTGAGAGAAAGGAGGGGGAGGTGGTGATAGGTAAGGAAGAAATCTAAAGAAGTGGAAAAAAGCAATGCCAGCAGCCAACAAATGGCACTCAGGGAGCTGGCCAGTGCAGGTGGGGGAATCCAAATGGTACTGGGGGGAAGCCCATGCTTCCTGGCCAGTAGACTGTGGCTGCAGGAGGCAGAGGAGGCTTAATGGGGGTGAAGAAGGATGGGGGGTGGGAAAGCCTGTATCGTGGGTTACCGGTTGTTCTGTCTCCTGCTGGAAGCCCCATGAAGCTGCTTTCTCGTACCTCCTGTTCGCTGATCTCCGATAGGAGTCCAAGATGGCGGATCCATGCTGTGGTAGCTGATAGGGGACCTCTGCATGTATCTCTCCTCGTGCTCTGTTCTCGGTCAGTTTCTTGTTCCGTTGGTGCTTGGCTGAGTTCTTTCTCTCTTCATTTCATGATTAGGGTTTCAGGATTGACGTGTGACTCTGTTTGACTTAGTTTTTCTGATCTTTGCTGTGGAGGGACAGCGTGGTGCTTCTTACTATAGCGCCATGTTGCCCGGAAGTGAACAGTTAAATCTTGTTACTCTGCATTTGCTTTTGACAGTAACTACTTGAATATAATGGAACATGAGGATAACTCAGTTTATATACCCTTTGTTTTGTTTTATTATTGAAATCTGGCCAGTGAGGTTTTTGAGGAGCTTTGCAGTAAGAACACCTGGTAGTTCAAGTTAGAATTTTCTTATAATTAAAAAAAGCAAAAATGCTGCCTTTCAAGATCAGAAAGCACTTTAAGCTTTTTTTTTTTTTTTTAAATTGTGCTTTAAGTGAAAGTTAACAGCTCAAGTTAGTTTCTCATACAAAAATTTGTACACACACTGTTATGTGACCCTAGTTCCTCTCTCTCTAATGTGATAGCACACTCTTCCTTTCCACCCCAGAGTCCCCATGTCCATTCAGCCAGCTTCTGTCCCTTTCTGCCTTCTCATCTCTTCTCTGGACAGGAGCTGCCCGTTTAGTCTTATGTATCTACTTGAACTAAGAAGCACACTCTTCACAAGTATCATTTTATGTCTTATACTCCAGTCTAATCTTTGTCTGAAGAGTTGGCTTAGGAATGGTTTAGTTCTGGGTTAACAGAGAATCCTGGGGCCATGTCTTCTGGGGTTCCTCCAGTCTCAGTCAGACCATTAAGTCTGGTCTTTTTACTAGAATTTGAGTTCTGCACCCCACTTTTCTCCTGCTGTGTCAGGGACTCTCTGTTGTGTTCTCTTGAAGCTATTCATACAAAAAATTTTGGAGATAATGAGAAGGTGTTGCTTAGTGAGGCACTGATTGGAGTGGTGGTTTAAAGTATGTGTATAAAAAAATAAAGTATGTGTATAGTTACCAAAACTCATTGAATCGTACATTTCAGATATTTCCATGTCACTGAATATAAAATTTACCCCAATCAAAATAAACAAATAAGGTTTTGGTGGGGGACAGTAAACTGTGTAAACAGATATATGCACTAGGGAGTGATTAGTGCTCTGAACAAAATTAGAGCAGACTAAAGGGGGAGAGCAGAATGGAGAAGAGGGGGTCTGGGATTGGGAGGCACTTTTAGATAGGAGGCCAGGAAAAGACTTTCTAAAGAGATGGGCTTAAGCAGAAGCCTGAGTGAAGTGACATGCAGAGGGCTGGGGAAAGAACTTTGCAAGCCAAGGAAGCGCATATGCAAAGAAGTGCTGAAGTGGGATCAAGTTTGGCATTTGTTCAAGGATCAGGAGGAAAGCCAGTGTGATTGGAATGAAGTGAACATAGGGGAAAGTTGTAGGAGGGATTTGAGTTTGGAGGGGCAGACCAGGGCTAGATCATAACAGGCCTTATAGGCCATTGGACCATTTTGAGCAGGGGAGTAGAGTGACCTGACTAACATTTCCAAAAGATCATTCTGGCTGTTTTGAGAAGAATAGACTGACTGTAGGGGATTAGGGGTGGCATCAGAGGGACCAGTGAGGAGGTTCCCAATGAGAAATTTCTCTTCTTCACACATCAGCAGAATTGAAACCTATAACTTCTGGAGTTTCTATTTATCATTTTCTTGCTAACAGTAAAAGTACTTAATTTAATTATCCAGTGCTTATCAGAGTGGCTGTCTCTTTCAGTATCACTAATTAGGGTATAAGAATTTCAGTTTTTTGACAAGATGGAAAAACATGAAAGGCTAGAAATCTAGCTTGGTTCTAATGTCTGTAGTCTTGTTATATCTTCCAATGTAACCTATAAAAAAAGATTTTCTTTGGACCTTGTTGACTCTATTTATGATGTAACAGATCAGCCTTTAATGATAACAACATGAGCAGGAGGGAACTTTCATTCTCATTCCCAGTTGAATCTCTATGTGACTCTTAAGTAAAAGTCTAAATAAATCAGAAGTTTATATTTGATTATAATTTGAGAATTCAGATAACTTGTTTGGAGAAATAGCTTTGAAAACAAAGGTGGGAGGGAAATTTCTTAGTAAATGTTTTGTGTTCTTTTGTTAGATTCCAAGCAGTATTGAAGATATATTTAATGATGATTGCTGCATAAATATCACCAAACAGGTAACCAAAGAAAACAAAAAGGTAAAAATAATGCTGCTTAAACCTTTGGTTCAAATTAAAATGTCACTTAAGGCTTTTTTTTTTCTTACTCTTTTAGACATCATCATTTTGGATTTTAGCTCGTGCTTTAAAGGAATTTGTGGCCAAGGAGGGTCAAGGAAATTTACCTGTTAGGGGCACAATTCCTGATATGATTGCAGATTCAGGCAAATACATAAAACTGCAGAATGTGTAAGTAACTATTTTCAAATCGTAACGGACATATTAGTCTGTTTATATTAGATATAAGCATTTTATGAGTGGGGAAAACTACAACTATCAGAAATCAAATGAAAGCCTACTCTAACCTTATTGTTTTAAAAATCAGCTAAAGGACTTAGGGGCCAGATTTTTTCTTTCATATCTCATGATAAAACCTAACATTTGAGCACTTACTCTGTGTTAAGGATTGTTCTTTGTATTAACTAATGTCTAACAGCCTTGTAAGAGAGAGACTGTTATTCACCATTTTAGAGATGGGGAAACTAAGGCGTAGAAAAGGTAACTTATTTTGGGTTAGACAGTGGTAAATGGCAGAACCAGGATTTGAACTCCAGCAAATCCACCTCTTAGAGCCCTTGCTCTCAGCCACATGTGATACTGTCTGTTATCTGTAACTTAAAACTTTGAAGTCTTTTTATAAGTGTGCTATGCTGATTTTTCTTACAGCAATATGTTAAAAAAAAAATCGGCATAGTGGCACTTACGAAAATACCTCTTGCGGGGAGGGCATGGTTGGCAAACAGACGTAGGAGGCGTGTATTGTTTGTGTAAAAATATGGTATAGCGGGTGCCCAGGGTGTTAGTGGGCTCTAAGAGTCCATCACCAGCACTGGAAAGACCCCCAACCGCTAATGGGTTCTGCTGGTATCATCTCCCTGGCATCTTCACATTTCATGTGTTGCCAGGCCAGTATTTTTTCATGAAAGGAAAGAAATCTTTTGTTTGCTTCATGGTGATAATTTAAATCTTGTCAATTTGAAAATTTGTTAGTAATAACTTATTTGTTGTTCTTTTCCAGTTACCGTGAAAAAGCAAAGAAAGATGCTGCTGCTGTGGGTAATCATGTTGCCAAACTACTGCAGTCCATAGGCCAGGTAAGCTGCTGGGCACACTGCCTTTGTGGCACAGCTCCATAGAGGTCTGCGTTGCAGCCAGGAAGGGTGGGGTGGCACTCGCTTGGTACTTCTTTAGAGAGAGTGCTCCCGCACCTCCCTAGGGAGAAAAGCCTGTTTTTAGGAAATCTTTTTAAAGTGCTCTTCCAACTTCTGGAGAGAGCCCCGCCATCTCACAGTGAGTTGGCTTTGTGCTGTACCCTCTGTTAATCTTCTGTTTTATACTGGAGCAAAACCTGTATTTATCTCTTTACAGGCACCAGAGTCCATTTCAGAGAAAGAATTAAAGTTACTCTGTAAGTCCCCTTGAATTAATTTTATTTTGCTTGATAAAAATGTGCCACAAGGAATGTTCCCAGCAATTTTAAGTGGTTGAAATTTAAAATTTTCCATGGTCTCAGTGGTATACCGTACCATACTGTACCCGTTGCCATCTAGTTGATTCTGTAAATATATTTAATTACTGCATAGGCATTTTTTTTTTAATAAATAAATGGAGAGTATTTTATGACTGGGTCAGAGGTAGAGCATATGTATTTATATCTATTTATGGCAATACTAAAAGGACATTAGGGTCAATTCATTAAAAACTGAATTGTCATTAATACAGAATTACCTTCAGCTTATTAATTTTAGGTAATTTGGGAAAACTTTATCTGAAGATTTTGGGTGTAATCTTCAATCATGTTACATTGATTGTACTGGCTTAAATCTTTTTAATCTGTGTCAAATGACTTCAGTGGAGTTAAGAATTTTTCTGTCTAGCTTCAAGGTTTCTGGGCTCCTGGGGTCTTCTTTTTATTTAATTCTCATAAATATGTATGTAACAAAACACTTGCCTTTTCAGCATTCTTCACTTGTACAATTCAGTGACATCAGTTCATTGTGTTGTGCAACCATCTCCATTATTAGTTTCTGTATTTTTCCATCACCCTTAATAGAAGCTCTCCTGGAGTCTTCTTGATAAGTCCTCAGTAGGCCAAAAACATTTTCTTTCATTTAAGAGTCAGTTTTAGAATGATACAACATTTATTTTACATGACTTCTGAAGATTTTTCTCTATAGCTACTGTGCCTAGTTTCTGTAGAAGTCCATATTTAGCCTGGTCCCTATCCTTAAAGTAGATTTTTCCAACTTTTCCATTCCATGGCTCTTCCATAGTGGTTGTTTAAGCTTACCTTTAATGTTTTGTTCCATGACTAATCTTGCACCTTGTTTCTGCATTACTGTTTGTTCTACTAGATTACACGATCCCAGATTAAAAGCTGGATATTGGGTATATGAGGGTTTATTATTCTGTTCTCTCTACTTTGGGGTATGTTTGAAAATTTCCGTAATAGAAAGTTTAAAAAAAATAACCAAAATCCTTACATATACCAACAGCACAATATATAGCACTCTCTCATTTAGGACTGCTTATCCATAATAATAATAATAATGAAAGCTACTATTTATCGAGTCATGTCAGGCATTGTGCTAGGCACAGGTGTCACATTTGATCCACAGAACAACTTTCATAGGCAAATGGTATTATCCCCATTTTACAAATGAGAAAACTGAGGCTCAGAGAGGTGCCATCACCAACTTAACTCAGTTCTGAAGTGGTTGTAGTGCTAAGGGTATGAATTTAAGATGACTTGTGTTCTAGTTCTTTCCCTGCTAACCGTTAGAGCTAAATAGAAGACATTTCATTACATACCCATGTCTGTGAAGAGTATATACAGAATTTCCTGTTCTTCAAGTGATCTGTGATTCAGGATATTCATGTGTTACAGCGTTTATTTCCATGATGTTTTTTCTATGTTTAAGGCAGTAATTCTGCATTTCTTCGAGTGGTAAGATGTCGTTCCTTAGCTGAAGAATATGGTTTGGATACAGTTAACAAAGATGAAATTAGTAAGTATAGTAACCTTCTGATGCTAAGTTATTAATTTTAAAGACATTACTATTTTATTTATAATAATGTTGGGTGTATGGTGATAACATAAAGGATAATATATATTTTTATGACCTAAATTTTATTCTATAAATCTATCCAAGCAATTATTTCAAAATATAAAGCTTAATATATACATAAAATCCTATCCTATAAAATCAGAGTCAGTTGTACGACATGTAAACGTATTAAAGTCAGCATGTCACTACTTTAGTAGATACTGAGTATATAGCTAATAGCCCATAAGACCACTGGGTTTCATTTTAATGTATCTTCCCTTTATTTTACTGGTATTTACTATTTTACTGGTACAAAATATTTAAATTTTGTGGTAAAATTGTCTTGTATTCTGAAACTTGAGTATATAGTAAATTTAACCCTTCATAGTTTGTATCTTGTAAATTGCCCAAATTATACTGGATTTTTTTTTTTTTCTTTCAGTTTCCAGCATGGACAATCCAGATAATGAGATGGTACTGTATTTAATGTTACGGGCTGTTGATAGATTTCAGAAACAACATGGTAGATATCCAGGTAGGAATAGCAGTTGAATTACCAAATGTAATAAAATCTTGAATGGCTATTTAAATTGAATCTTAAAATATTCTGAGTGTTTATAATGGTATAAACAGTTTACACATAGTTCATCCCAAAGAGGAACTGCCATTTGTTTTTATTTTTTTGTTTCCTTGGAAAAACATGTATTCTGCCATTTGTTTTGTTCTTTAAAATTTTTATTTTATTGTTTTTGAGAATATACACAGCAAAACATAAACCAATTCAACAGTTTCTACGTGTACATTTCAGTAACACTGATTAGATTCTTTAAGTTGTGCAATCATTCTTACCCTCCTTTTCTAGCCATTGGTTTTTTAAGTGTAAATATTTGTAAATACTATTTGATTCTGAACTGTTAAACGGGAATGTTGGTTAAATGTTTATAGAAGAAACCTTTTTTTTCCTGTTTCCATAGTTTACTTTTAAGACTCTCACTGAGTTTAATTTAGTGGAATAGGAAAGCCACAAGAAGTATGCCATTGACTTCTCAACTCAGAACTCTGAAGGTATAGGGATTTCATTTGCTTAGTATTTATTTTTTGTTATCTGCAAATGTAGGAATTGGGGAACTGGCATAATGTCAGAAATCTATAGTTGCCCAGAATATTTTTATTCTTGACAATAATGTTGTGTAGGATTATTACATAGTAACACAGTCTATGCGTATCATAAAACCTGTTGCCCCAACTAATGTTGTATATGCCCCCAGAACTTAATAAGAAAGGTTACCAGAAGAAGAAAAAGAATACACCCACTCCTAACTTACCAACATGGTTAGGTTCCAAAACCAGATCATATGGAAAAATCGGCATTATGCAAAAATGGAGGATAACTCAATCATTACATAACTCATAACTGCCAAATTACCTCATTACATAACTGCCAAACCACTGAGAGTCATGGTCCAGGCAGGTTGACACAAAACTTAACCATCACAGCCAGTGTTACTCGTGCCTCGCACCTTGCTGTTCCTTACTGCCAGATGTGCATCGTTGATGCACAAAATAGTTGGATAGTAGATTTTTTTTTTTTTATTGTACTTCCAGTGAAGGCTTACAGAACAAATAGTTTCTCATGAAACAGTAGTACACATGTTGTTTTATGACATTGGTTAACAACCCCACAACATATCAACCCTCTAACTT